GAGGCTCCCTTCTAAGACACATAAATCTGGGGTTCACTCTTGCTGTAAACACCCACAATGCCCTGTCTGCCAAGCATCCCCTCGAATCCATACCTATCCCCACTACTGAAAGCAAATGCCAGCCAGAAATCTGTTCTCAACAAGAGACCCCAGTCCTCCATGTTCCCAAACAGAGGGAAATCCATAAGGCAGTGGAAATGGACCCCAACCCCTGCCTCAACTCTGACTCCTCAGACTACATGCCTGGGGTGAGAACCCAGGAGCCTCAGATCCTCAGCATGGAGTAAGATCCAGTGCCACGACTGGAATTGGAGCCCAAGAACCCTTATGTCAAGCCCACACCTGGGTAGCACCCCAAAACAGAAAGCAGGAGTGGAAGCATGGGTGCAGGAGGTGGCTGGGGCTTCACCCTTAGAACCAGAGGAACTAGGAAGAAGAAAGAGGGAAGGCTGAGCCTTCAGGTCAGGTATTCTTGGCTAACCTCGCCTCCTCCTCCTGGGGACAGTTCTAGCACTGAGGCTCTGGGGGTCCCAGCCACTTTGCTTTGAGAAGTCATGGAGGTGGCAGAGGAAGAGAAGCCTGTTTCCATTCACCTCATGGATTTGCCTTTTCATCTGGGAGCACAGAGGACTTGGGTCTCTCACCAAGAAGCAGAACCAGTTCCTGCAAGGGTCTAAAACCCTCACCAGACCTCACAAAGACGACCTGCAGAGAGGAGTCAACACTGAAAATTATCTCAGTCAGAATCACCCCCTCTACTGCATGTTGTCCCCCAGCTCAGCAAGTTGGGAACACACAATCACCCCAACCGGGCAGGGGGCTCATCCTGCTCTCAGTCTGACAGAGGAAGGAAGAGGAACATTTTAAAAATAGCTAAAGCTTGGTGAGCACTTGCCATGTGCCAGACACGGTTCCAAGTGCCTGCCTGGCATGTACCACCTCGTGAAAGCTCATGAAGGAGGGCCGGGCGTCTCCCCATCTGAGGTTGAGGGGCCCCAGAATTCAAGGTTACTGTCTGAACTGGAGGGTAGCCAGCCTTGAGAACTCAGGAAGCAGTTTTCAGTTTTCCTGAATTACCTGGAATTCTGCATTCTTCCCCTCCCACCCCGCCCAGCACAACCTTCCTTCGCAATTGCATAATGGGCTCTCAGGTGTTTGGAGGAAAGGCAAGAAGAAGAGTAAATCGGAACAAACGCATCTTTGCTATTAAAAGTGGTTTTAAAATGCTTCTGTGGTTGAGGCAGAAATCAGCCCTATGGCAGCTGGGCTTGGGGAGCAGGGGCCAAATCCAAGGTCAGCCAAGACACAGTGACCCTGATGCATCACAGGCTGGCCCCAAAGCACTAACGGCAGGAGGGAGCTAGAACCTGAGTGGCTGAGTGCAGAGAGGACGAAGGGAGGCCTGCACTGCTGCACAGGGCAGAGGTGAGCACTAGACCCTTGAAGACAGCAGCACGAGCACCTGCTGCAGACGACTTGCAGGGCCCACCCCTTGCCCCCACACATGCCCCTCTGGGAGGCACTCATCTGCCCACAGCAGCCCTCCCGACCTTCCTCCAGCCTTGCAGCATGTCACAGGGCAGAACGTGGAGCTTCCTGGCCACCCTCAGCCCAGCTATTAGGCTGGAGTCCTTCCTCTGCAGCCTTCCAAGCAGAAAAAGCTCCCCAGCCACAGCCCTAAATGCTCTCCTCCACAACTCAGCCAGGAATAGAGGGAAAATGGAACCCATTATTCTCATTCTGAAGGGCTGGGAAATGGCTTGTGCTTTTCAACATGAAATGTGCCTAAAAATAAGCTGTGAATTTCAACCAGAGGTTGAAAATAGCTCTGGCAGTGAACAGAGCTCTGTTCAGAGTGAGCTCAAGGATGGCCTTCATTCCAAGAGTGAGAGCTGAATGCTGCAGTCCGAGCAGGGGTCCTGGGCAGGGGGCTTTCCAGGGCAGAGGGGCCGTCACTTGCTCACAGGGCTGCCCTTGCCATGCTCCACTGGTGGAGGCCTGCCCTCCAGCTTTAGAACGCCATATACTATGAGACACACGGTACCTGAGTTGATGGCTCCGTAAGATCCTCAAATGCCCAGGTGTGTCTCGGGCAGCTTTAGGGCCTCAGGCCCAGGGGATAAACAGAGCTAGAGGGGGAGAAGGTCATAGCTGAGCCAAGCCACCCTGGCCAGCCACCAAACCACTCACCAGTTACTATCTCAGAGCCAGGAAAGCCAGCAGGCAGGAAGGGCAAGAACACATCCAATGGTAAGTAAAGGAAACCAAGTTGCTAAAGGTCTTTTTTGTTGTTCACCATCACCTCTGGAAGATTCCAAAGTTTGACAGGCCAAAACGACATTTCTATACAATAGACTTCTATTAGAAACAGTCTAGAGACCTGAGCCCCAGCTGCCGGGGGGAGCCCAAATCTGGCCCAACTGAGCAGGGGCAGGAGCTCGAGTCATCACACTCGGGGCCGCGCTCCGCCTGCCACAGCAGCCCTGACCCCCCCACATTCCTACACTCCTCCTGCCACTGCAATCACTTCCTTTCTGGGCTCACTCCCGAGGCAGGAGTTAGTGTAGTGATTCTCCACTGGGGGCCATTCTGCCACCCCCCCCCCCCCCCGGCCCCGGAAGAGATCTGGCAATGCCTGAAGACATTTTGGGTTGTCACAATGAACGGGGGGTGGGGAGTGCCACCGGCAGCTAGTGGGGAGAGGCCAGGGATGCCGCTAAACATCCCGCAAGGCCCAGAACAGCCCCCGTAGCAGCCAAGGCTGGGTCCGCTGGAGGGGCGGGAACTCATCGGATGCACCCGTTCCTGGCACGTGGCTGCAGGGCACCTGGGCTTCCGAGGCAGCTGAGACACTCTGGCCAGCCATGGAATCGGTCACCAACTCAGTGCCAGGGAAGCCCCAGGGCAGGAAAGGTGAAACTATACTCATCAGTTTCCCTTCCCACCACAGGGGCAAACCTAACCGCTGGCCAAGGCTGGACCAACTGGCTTCCCTGGGCATGCAGGGCTGAAAGAACTCCATGGACGACAGTGGTGATGGTTGGACAACAGTGTGGATGTACGCTCTGGCATGGGTGTGTGTCTGCATGAGGGGCCATAAACCTCCTCAGCATCCCAATGGGACTTGTGACAAATAAGGGAAAAGCCATAAACCACAATTTTAGGACTCATAAGTCAAGTCACTGCGCGGGTTAGCAGAGTTCATCTACGTCCCACATGGGCTCCTCAGAGCCTGCCTAGGAAAGTACTCAGGTCCCACTGTAGAAACAGAGGTGTGGGAAGAATGGGTGCTTTGTCTGGGACCACACAGCCAGGACTCAGACCCAGTTCTCTGACCCCAGAGCCCATATCCTTTCCCCTGTGTGAGCACCACGTGGCGATGCCCAGTGGAACTGTGGCTATAGCTCTGTCGTGGGCCAGGAGGTAGTATGGGAACACACGGTTTTCCTGAGCACCAGTAAGCTATTCACCCATCCATGCCAAACCCTGCCCTGTCCTGCTGGTTTCCCCCACCCTGAAGGCCTTCCTGCTAGATTATCAGGCCCCACAGCTCTGGGACACAAGGCTGCTCCATACCCCTTATCTGAGCAGGACTGAAGGGACAACAGGCAGCTTGTCCAAGCCTCCTGCCTAATAACCACAAGAAAAGGAATATGGCATTCTCCCTTTGCTGGTGATTACTAACCATTCCCAAGAGGCAGGTGGAAGTGCCCTCTCCTGGGACAGGGGGAGAGCTGCCAGGCAGCCCTCTGCCGCCTACAGTTACTAGCTTGAGTAAGGGGGGCCAGTGTGGTGAGCCCCCAGGTCCAGGCATCCAGGTGGGTGACTAAGCCCCAGGCGTCTCATCTGAGAATGAGAGTAGTACCTTTACCCGCCCAGCCTGGGCTTGGCTCACTGTAAATGCCCAGCACATGGGGAGCTGGAAAGGAGATGGCACTCACCCCACAGGATCCAGTCCTGCAGTTTTTGAAAAATGCCTTTCTAGGCAGAAGACCAAACAGCAGCAAGCAGACCGCCATGCAACCCAGTCATCCCCACCAGACCCAAAAGCTGAGAATCGCTACTCATTAGCAAATGTGGAGAGAGAACAAAACCTCCCGGCCCAGAGCAACCCTAGGAAGAAAAGCTTTAAATCTCAACCTGGCCTATTCCTAGAAGTAGCCCCAACACACAGAATGGGGCTGTGTGTGCGTGTGTGTGTGTGTGTGTGTGTGTGTGTGTGTGTGTGTGTGTGAGGCTAGGGTGGGGGATCCCTCCGCTGGAGCCAAAGAAAGGCCAGGATGGACTCAGAGGCTTCCTGGTTCTATTCTGGGCCAGCCTTGACTTGCTGGAGGCCTCGGGCAAGCCACTTCCTGTTGTTCAGGCCAGTTTCCGTGGGTGGGAGAGGCTACACTGCCTCCAGGGTCCAGGAGGGAGCGATTTAAACAGCCGGCAGCCACTGGGGCTTAAAACCCTCAGGGCTCCACATCCTTGGCTTGAAAGCTTACTTCAGCCAAAGCGGAACGCGACTTTATTCAATGAGATCATATCAGTTATCAAATTTTTCCCCAAAACTATTTGTCAAAAAATATCATTAACTATTTGAATTCAGGAACACTAAATGCCCTTTTACCGACAAAGGTACTAAAAATGGTTTGTGGCTGAGGAACTTCCTTTCCATAGTGTAAAAAAAAAAAAAAGGGGAAGTGAGAGCAACAGGGCTGAACTTTTCCCATCCGTCCCAGCTGTGGCTCAGGCCCCACGCCCTCTAGGAACTCTCCATCGGGGTCGTGTGGCCCAAGGCTCCGCATGGGACAGGTCCTCCCTTTCCTCAACCAACAGTAGCCTGTGCCTTGGAAACACCCCCCCCAAGGCACAGGGCCTCACACCCTGCAGTCTTCACGTCTTGTTTGTGCATTCCAGATTTGAAACAAAGTCCCACAAGTGCCAAAAGATTATTTGCTGTTCACCATGACCCACTGGAGTTTCAGGGCTCAGGACACGCCTACTGAGCCACTTACCAGATTCCCGGAGGACGTGGCCAGCGGGGCTGGGGGCCTGGGCACTTTCAGGACTTCTCCATAATCCACAACATCAAAGTTACTCTTCCAAACCATCACCTGCCAAGAGCAACGAGCACAACGACATCACACCAGCCCTACTTCATGGAAGAAAGGAGGCAGGGGTGACCCCCAAAGTTCTGGGCCAGTTGCAAGACAGTCCCCACCTGACACTCCAGCTCAACTCTGGGACCTGTCCCACCTCCCCGGCTTTTTAGACAGGCCTCGAGAAGACGTGGTTGTGCCGTCAGGATGGACTCACTGCATGTTGTCACCAGGTCTTTGCACTTGCCGGTCCCTCCCTGGAGGGTCCCAGCATAAGCGGAGCTGGCTCCTCAAGCTAAAGCGTCTGCTTCAGCAGCATCTTCTCCGAGAGACCTTCCCTGGTCTCCTGCTAATTCTTATCATAGCCCTCTATTGATTTCTTTCATAGCATCAGACTCAATAGTTATTTAATGTCTTTTTCTCTTTTCCTCATTTATCGTCTGTCTCCCCACTGAAACAGAAGCTCCCAAGGGTAGTAGCCTGGCTTTAAGTTACACCAGACCACTACGGTTAAATTCCTGGGTCCACCCTTTACTGTGTGGCTCCAGGCAAGGGACTCAACCTCTCTGTGCCTCAGGTTCCTCATCTGTGAAGAGGGGATGATCCTACTTCCAGCCTCACAGGAGACAGCTTGGCACAGACACTGGTACCCAGGGAGCCATGGGTAACACACCCATTATTCCCCGGTCCACCTGAAGGATCTTCACGTCTTGAGGCTCCCCCAGCAAAAGGTTGGCAAACGGCCCTGGGGAGCAGGGGAGCAACAATGCTCCTGCTAGAGGGTGTCAGCCCCAGGTGGCTGCCCTCTGCCAGGGTCACTTACAGGGTGGCAGGAGCTGTGGGGTGTGGCTGGGGCTCAACGGAGGCCACAGAAGGAGCCCCAAATCCATGTTAAGGTGAAAGCGCAACATGCCCGGGATGCTTTCCTGCTTGCAATGCACCACGAGCCTGGTTCTTTGGGAGGCTGCTTGCCACTCCCAGAGCAGCCCACTGTTTACTGCCCCCCAACTGATGGGCACTTAAGGCCTTCATTCCTGTTTACAAACAGAGTTAGCACGTCCCCCACCCCCTTGTTTGTAGGGCCCTGTGTAACTGCACTAGTCCAACTGCTGAATATATTCCTGGGAGCGGAACAGACTCACATGTCTCTCCAAAAAGGCTCTCAGAGCCGACTTTAAGAAGGCAGCCAGGGAGCTGAGGAGGGGCCAGAGTGGGCGGAAGCCCTACTTTCTACCAGGCTGCCTCTTGTACCATGTGACTTTCTTTTACCAGGACTATTTATAGTGTGACTTTACTGTACTATTTTCCTTTGTTTAAGCAATGAGCCGGGCCTCCACACTCGGGGACAGCTCAGGGGTCCCCTGAGCCTTCCTCCTCCCTTGTTTGGTTAGCACAGGAACCAGTGCTGGGTGGGAAGACGCCCACGGTCTCTTATCCAGGCCGTGCCGAAAAAGCCTCCAACCACCTTCTGCTTTCCTGGCAGAAACTCAACCCGAATCGGTCCATGGGGCTGGGGCTGGAGTTCGCTGGGAGGCCAGTGGGACTTTTCTGGGCTGAGCAGTCAGAGCTGTGAGGCCCAGCATCAAGAGAATGAACATTCTGGGCAGGAGGCACCAGGGCTGACAGGCAGAAAGCCTCGGCACAAAGGGTGACAAAATGGGACAGGACCTCCTCACACAGGTCTTCTCCGGGCAGCCAAGCAGTTTGAAAATGGCGCCCCTCAAACAGCCCACAAGTGCAGCATCCTGGGTCTGCGCACCTCACCCCAAGTTTTGGCCTTCATGGTCACTGCAAGTCACCGAGGAAGCTGGTGAAACCTGGCCCATCCTCAAGGCGCCTTGGCTCCTGTTCTCTTCTGATAAGTATCAGCCAACATTCCTCACACTGTTTTGTTTTGTTTTGTTTTTTAATTTATTTATTTGAGAGAGAGAGAATGAGAGACAGAGAGCATGAGAGGGAGGAGGGTCAGAGGGAGAAGCAGACTCCCTGCTAAGCAGGGAGCCCGATGCGGGACTCGATCCCGGGACTCCAGGATCATGACCTGAGCCGAAGGCAGTCGCTTAACCAACTGAGCCACCCAGGCGCCCCCCTCACACTGTTCTTTACTTACTTGTTCATCAGAACCTCCAGAAGCAAAATACTCCCCCGTTCTTGAAAAGGCAACAGTGGTGGCCGGACCCTATCAGAACAAACAAAAAAGAACGAACACCAAAGGTCACTCTAGCTTCCAAACGCACAGGAAGAAAACCAGCTCATGAACGAGAGCCACAGCAGGACAAGGGGCTGAGGGCTTCATTGAGCCCCAGTCCTTCCCAGGCTTTGGCAGAGGCACCTGTAGGAGCTCAGCCACGGGTGTCACTGCTGAGGCCTCTGTGCCCGAGCACTGCTGACAGCACAAAGGCCAGGCCACAGGGCGGTGGGTGGGCAGAGAAGAATAAGCAGGACAGCGCACGCTGGTGGCCCTGCTGGGTTGACATCACCGTCCCCGCTTCCCAAGGACGAGCTGGAGATCAGAGAGGTGCACTGACTCATCCCAGGCCGAGCACGGGCTCCAGAACTTGGTCCCCCTGGCCCAGGCCGTGCTCCTCCCCTACACCACCCTGTAGCCGACCAGAGAAGCGTGAGGCCCCAAGGAGGAGCCAATGAGCAGAAGCAGGGTGCCGTCAGGGAGTCCAGGGGACACAAGAGGCCCGAAGCAGGGCAGGAAGGAGGCTGGGGAGGGGATTATCAAAGGTGCCTGAGCAGAGGAGCAACAAGACGCATCCCCCTAATGTGCATGTCACGTGCCTTATGTTAGGACCCTGGCGGGAGAAGTGCCCGCTCTGGCTTCCCCGGGGCTGAAGGTCTGCGCGACTACGGTAAGGGTGATGATGCCAGACCAGGGCAGGCAATGCTTGGAGGGCCTGTGAGCACATCCCGACTTCGAGGAGCCAGGTGTGATCTCCCGGCAAAGACGGAAGGCTCTTTCCCACATGTGTGACATCCACCGCAGAAAGATGCACGGAGCAAGAGTCTGTTCACACAACACGGTGGACCAGCAATTCCTCCTAGCCAAATTCAGTCTGCCAGTACCTGGCATTCCTCAAGCAAAACCAGAAAAAAGAGCTTCTCTCCTAACTGATGACAGCACAGCCACTGTCATGGAGGCCACCTCCGTTCCTCCAGACCAGAGCAGGGAGCAGCAAGAGCCCCAGGTGCCCAAATGAGGTGCCTCCGGCCATGGGGCTGGTAGAAGCAGTAGACGCATGGACAAGAGGAACACTGGGACGCACCTTGCACTCGATGCCAGGAAAAACCAGACAAGTTATGGGCTAGAAAAGGGATCTGTGGTCATGGAACAAGACGAGCTTCGGCCTGCCCAGAAGGGACAGACAGGTGGAAAGCTGCCTCCTGGGCCTAAGCGTTCTGGACAGGATGGAACATTCTTCCACTTCCCGAATCTACCCATGGCTCCTCCTCTCCTAGATGCTCATGAGGGTGGTGAGAAAGTTAAGTACAAGGCCAGTTAACAGTGACCTGCACTAACCCACTTAATCTTCGGAGAATGGTTTGCATGCTGACCCCTTCTACAGGTGACATGTCCCAGAGGGGAGACCAAGGCCTGAAAGGTCAGAGACAAAGGCTCCCCCTGTGCCTCTCCCTGCCTTCTCTCACAGGCGGGGCTCCAAAGGCCCGGGGATCAGGGCAGCCGCGAGTCCTACGTGGCCATCCAATAGGACAAAGGAGATCCATCTGTATGACTGGGAACGTCAATGAAATCAGTGAGTGCAAAATGCCAGGTGCAAGGCATCACGGGCTGCTAGCGCAGGGCTGAGTGCGGGAGGGGGTGGGGGAGGGGGCAGGTCGAGCAACCCTCAGGTACTCTTCCAGGTGGACAACCCCCAAGGGTGAACAAGATGAACAGGACTTATGGGGTGGTGGGGGAAGGAAATTTCAGATGACTTTTACTTGATTCTTGGAAATCCTATAATTTCCCAAACTTTGAATCCTTAAACAGTGAGTATATGGCGTTGCTATGTTAATATAAAAGCAAAACAACAAAACTATTTTCATTTTGAGAAAAAACAAAGAAGGAAGAGGGAAAAGAGAAGGAAACCAGGACATGGAGCGTCAAAAGAGCTGGGCTCTTTGCCTGCCCAGAGCTCATGGAGAAACAGCCAGTTTCCAAGAAGTCACAGCAACCAAGGAACCAAACAAATACTCATCAGTCTCCTTTCCTGCTGTCACTCAACCACCAGATGCCAAGCTGGGGACGAGATGCCAGAGGCCAAGCTGTGGCAGGGCCCCTGAAGAAGGCGGCCGGCAGCCCATGGCTTGGTGGGGGACTGGGACCAGAGAGCAGGTGCTAGAGCTTTCCCCAGAGTCCAAATGCCCAGACACTCTGGGGATGGCGCCAGCAGCAGGGAGGCAATAAGGAGGCAGGGCCCGCAGTCCTCCCCAGCAGTGGCTGTTTACCTAGAGGATGGCTCAGCTCCTGCACCGGGTACCTTGGTGTTCCCAGAGAGAGCACCCTTCCACAGAAGCTCTTGCCTGTGTGTCTGTGGCCCACGAAAGCAGCTCTACTGTGGACCAGAGCCAGCAGGGACCGGGATGCAGACCAGGCTTCTCCACCACTGACAACCATCATCCCACCCCTTCTGGGGCCCAGACAACCCCGGCCCCCAATGACCTCACCAGACTCCCCGCTTCCTCCCCTCACTGGTGCTCCAGCTCCACCAGCCTGCTCACTGCTCCTCACCACAAGCTCCAGAGGGTCTCATCTTGCCTTCAGGATCTTTCGGCAACTTTCAGCATTGAGCTCTTAATTCAATTATTTCCAATCTTTCTCAGTTTTAAATAAACTCATTTAAGGCTACACATTTGCCTCTGATTTACTACTTTAGATGCATCCCCAAAGTTTCCAACATGCAATATCCTCACTGGCAGTCACTTCCAGACGTTTAGTTTCCACTGCGATTCTCTTTAGCCCAGCAGTTATCTAGAAGTGCATTCCAGCTGCCAAACCACCAGGGCTTCGGGGGGTCCCTTTCATCACTGACAACGATCAGATGGGATCCACCTTCTTTGAGATCATTCTGCCTTCAAGGTGGCTTACTCTTTTCAGTTAATTAGTCACTCTCAATGTACAATTCACCGGCTCGCGGCAGGGATGTCACCAAGTTGTTTCTTCACCCAGGCAAGACCCAGGGGCCTCTGCAGTGACTTCTGAGCATGACTCTGAGCTCTTGGCTGAGATTTCAGCAGTGTGGTCTGACTGCCAGAGGTGCCCACCTGCCTGACGTCCTGGTCCCCAACTGCCTGCAGGCCACGTCCACTGGCAGGGGGCCCTCACAGGCTCAACCAGATCCTTCCCTCCATCTCCAGATCTGGCCCATCGGTCTTTGGTGAGATGATTCTGCCTGGTCGTCACAAGCGCGGGACGCAGCCTGGCCTCCCACCCCATCCTACTCTCCCTCCGGACCCAGCCACACATGGCCCTCCGGCTTGGCTGGACCCACACCCAGTCACTTCATCACATACTGTCTCTGCTTTGACAACCTCCAGACCCAAGGGACCCACAGAATCTGCTTTCTTCACTCTTGCAACGAAAGCATCAAGCATCAATCAAGAAAGTTAAAAAAAAAAAAAAAAAAGGCAAAACAAAGGAACCCATGGTGTTTAGATTCCATAGCTCCTGGTGACTCTCCCTCCGCAGCCCCTGCCGCCTGTCCAGACCCCTCCGCTCTCCTCACCCCCTTCCACCTGACTCCCTGAGGCCCCCATGCACCTGAAACTTTGACCGCTGTGCCCACAACAGCTATGCTGGCAAAGACCCAGCAGGTACCCCATCCACCACCACCTCACAAGGCTTTTGAAATGTTTTTCACTGGCTGCCAGCAAACAAATAGGAATGTCACACCACATGCCTTGAGTCAGAGGTAAACGAGTGACCATCCAACAAAGATATGGAGACCAAGGAGGCCTGAGAAGCCCCTGGCGTGGGAGCTCTGGTCTCTGAGGCGTCCAGGTTGCTCCTTCCACAAACCCCCACACCAGGGAGGCTCCTGCACTCGCTCATCAGCACCTGCCGTGGGCTGACTCTTATGTCTGAGTAGTGACCCTGTGGACAAGGAGTGGCCTTCGGGAGGAGCTGGGGTCCAGGAATGCTGAAGCTCTCTCCTGACCTTGGCCAAGGACACCTGCTCCCTCCCAATCCTCAATCCTAGGCTGCTGGCAGGGGACAGAAAGCCAGGCTGACCTCTTGGTTTACTCAAGTTGGAGTAAATGAGCTGTTTTCCCTCTTGATGTCCTCTCACCTCTCCCAGGAGGTACCCAACCATCCAAATTGGGTCTGAGACTCCCAGGCATAAACGTAATTCTCCAAAATAAAATGACTACACAGGGGCCACGGAGCGCTGGAAGAAAGGGGGGTGGGGAGCAACGTTCGGAGAGCTTCCTTCCACCTGGAGCCGCCTGAGGGGTAGCACTCGTGCTCCGGGCCACTCTACCACACTGCCATCTCTCCTCTTCAACCCTGTGCCCCTTAATGCCACTTCCCCAGCCCCAGCCTTGGCTCTGGCATGGGGCAAGCTCCCAGTAACCCTGGTGGATCCCATACCCTGAGGCTGTGATTTCACAACAACCAGGCCTCAGAGCACAGCCCCAGGTGCGGACAGCAGCCCTGGTTTGGGGTTCTAGGCCCTCGAGCCATGCCCAGTGGTCCTCGTGCAGCTCAGTCACTCCGCAGCAACACGAACGCCAACTGCCTAGCCAGAAACACCAGATTTAACTCCCACCCACGTCCCGCCCACCATCCTCTCCCAAATAGCTCTGGGGACTTAAACCAAATGAGCATGGCTCAAGATTATGTTTCAGAAAATATAGAAAAATCAATCTGTATTTCTAGCACACTGCCCCCACACTTGCCACACAGAGCTATGGGGGCCTCGCTCGGGGCACAGGGCTTCGCACAACAGCTGTACTTGGTGCAAAAACTCTTCCTTCTCTTGCTCTTCCCTGCTGCAAGGTGAGGGATGGGAGAGGATGAGGCCCCTGTATGCTGACACCCCTAAGACTCTACTGGATCCAGCAAGAAGCAGGGACTCCTCTTCCTCCTGCTTAACTGTCACCACTGTGGCTGATCCCCAGAGCAAGACCTTCCAGAGGCTCAGAGAGGGTAATGGCACCCCTGCCAGCCCACTGCCAAGATACCTGGCCTATCCTGTAGGAGTCAGGCCCTAGAAAAGATGACCTGATGGGCGGGACTAATAAAGGGCACTGCCAACAGACCTGTGGACCAAGGCACCAGCAGGCCATGCCTACTCAGAGCAACCGGTCAGGACAAGTGCGTTTAGGCAGAGTCACCGCAGGGACAGATTTCAGGAACTGTGCGGCCAAAGAGAAGCCAAAGCAAGAGGATGTTCTGGGGGAGATGAGGACAAGCCTAAAGAAAACAAAGAGCTAGATAAACCCTTGAAAGACTCCGTGGGTGATGGAAGGAAGGGAAACGGGCACTCCCCAGCCCAGACGGGGAAGGACTGAGGACTATGGCCCGTGCCCATCAGAGGGGGCGGAGCCATCAGAGACCCCTACCATGGACTCCTTTTCCTACCAAAGACTGCCCACCCAGGGTGCCAGGACCGTGCCCATAATAGAAACGTTCAATGACCTTGTAAAGAGCTCTCACCTAGAGCAGCCTGGGATCTTTTCTAAAAGCTGAAGTGGAAAAGGACAAGTATCTGTGAAGACCTACCATGCCTGGTGCTAGGGAATGTAGACACATGCTCTCCTGTTGTGAGGCAGATGCAGCAGTTCTTACAAATAAGGAAAAGCTTAAGGTCCTGCCCAATGTCCCAGAGTAAGAGGCAAAGCTGGAATGGTCTGACCTTGACACACTTCCTGTCTGCAGCCTCCTGAGCTCAAGACTTTTCGGCTGAACTAGGTGCGAGGGTACCCGTGGCTTCTCCAAACCAGAAACCAGGTGGGTACAAGCTGTTTGTTCCTGGAAATATTGGGGTGTTTCCTTAAAAAAGCTAGGCACCGTCACCTGCCAGACAAGGCTGTGTGAACCCTCCCCCACTGAATGCATCCTAGCACTCGGCTCAGTCAGAGAAGCTTGCAAAGGTGACTGGTGCAGGCTCTTTACCAGCTCAATCCACGGAGAGAGAAATTACTCTGGTGTTCCCAGGGACGAAGGCAGAGGAAAGAGGGCAATGCGCCACATCCAGGCTGGCAGTGCCCTCCCTACTCTGTCCACCCTCCACCTGAGGTGGGCAGATCGGCTGGAGGTAGAGGGCCACCCTATCTCTCAGCCCCAACAGGCTCCTCAGCCTGTCCCACCACCCCCTGCCTTGGCAAAATGTCAGTGTCTGCTCGGGTTGTGTGTGGAAACCTGCGCCACCTGCTGCCTCCTCACTGCTGAAGGCCCTCACACCTTGAGCAGCAGAGCTGTCTGAGGGGCTCGGGCCCCCGGGCTGGAGAGAGCAAAGGGCCTGCCCGGCTCTCGGCCCGGCACCCGGTGGTCAATCAGTTGAAGACGCTCACGTGGTGGAAGCTTCTGAAGAGCCACAAGGGCCCCAGCTACAGCCAAGGAACCATTCCTGGGGTACAGCCTAGGTGGCGCCGAGCTCCCGTGGGGCAGAAGCCTCTCTCAGCCCCTAGCTACATCCCCTGAATGACCCTTCGTAGCTCAGAATCCCAAAGCCGGGACTGCAGGAGAGAAACACCAGAATCCTTGAGGCCCACAATAAACTTATAATTGATGTCCACCCCTAGCCCCACAAAGGGGGCCAGCTTCACATGGGCCGATGGGAGGTATGGCCGACTGCGTGCTAGACAACCACCAAACTGCTGCCATGGCCAGACTTCTGGGCTGATGAGCTGCCCTCAACACAGCACAGGAGACCTGGGCTACACTGGGTGATCCTGATCTTAGCTTGTACTTGGCAAGCACCTCCAACCTGGTGCCCCTGTGCCTTTAGGAGTCCACTAAATGGCCCATCAGACTTCTAGCCTCAACCCAGATCAAAGAGTGTCAGCCCAACAGCACTGCCTCCCCTGAGCCTTCTTGTCCACTGACCCTCCCTCACTGTTCCCCCAGAGGGGCTGACTCAGGCCCTGCCCTCACACGGGACAGAGAGACACTTCCCTGGCATACACCCAGAGCCCCCTCCTGACCAAGGACTGCCTCCTGCCGGCATCAGCTCCCTGTGGCTGGCTCCTCTCAGTGGGCCTGACCCTCAGCCTGCGCTGTCCCTTCCAGAAGGTGTGAAATTAGAAGCATGAGGGGGTATGTTCCACTTGGCAGAACAACTCAATAGCCTTCACTCCCATAGCTCTTCCCTCCCATGTGTAGGGACTGTCCCAAGGAGGGCCTCCAAGTCCAAGCCAGAGTTTCACGGGGTTCCCTCCTGCTGGACCAGAATGAGGTCACGTAGCGGCAAGGCTGGGCCACAAGCAGCCCCAAAGCCTGCAGGCCTCCTACACAGACCAGTAATCTCAAAACAAGAGTGAAATCACAACTCAACAGCTAAAAGCTGGACGTGTGAGACAAGTAGAGTGGAAACCGCAGAGACCTGAATACCAGTCCCAGCTCTGCCACCCTAAGCTGCATGGGACCCCTACAATTCCAAACCTCTCCCTGGGCCTCGGCTGCCCCCCCCCAACCCGGGATCCAAAGCACTTTCAAATCAGCCATCTTCACCCGTGGGACAAAATCCCTGGGCACCAAGGATCCACTCGGGGGCCCTGGGGCTACTCAGTCCCATGTTGTGGGACGTGGCTGGTGGCACCTGAGCCTAATGGGGCCCTTAGCCACCTCCTGGAACAGAATGGGAATGCTCCAGTCCCCAAAGAGCCCAGGTGCGCAGCTTCCTGGAAAGACGGGCCAGGGAATGGACTTCACAAGCAGGGAGCCCAAGAGGACAACACACTGCACGGGGCTGTGCCAACTGCTAGCTGTCCCTCAGCCTAGTTCCCACATTCCCAGCTTCCACAGCAGAGAAGTAACTGCAGTTTCACCAGGTCTCTGTGTCACTTCTCCACGCTTCCTTTCTGTGCTTGATGCTGTGCCCGAACATGGGACTAGCATTAAACACCACATGCAAGGGCTATCAGACTGAGAGGTGAGTCAGCAGTTTAAAGAACCCCCCCCATACCCAACACACACACACACACACACACACACACACACATCCGAAAAGCCCTGGGTGATCACTCGGCATGCATCTGTTTGCATGATGTTTCTGGATATTGCCTTTTCTTTCTGTAGGGAGTTGGGGGACATAGCATCATTCATGTGGCTTTCAAATGTCCTCTTGGTTATAAGATCCCAAACTGGTTACAAGTGACTGAATAATTGACTTGCCAAAGGGCTAACAAGGCGGCTCCCTAACAAGCTTGCAACAAGAGCAGCAATCACCCAGCCCAGAGGCCAGATATTACACCTAGATGGGCCGGCCACTGGGGGGATGGGACCGCTGGTCCTGCACTCCAAATGTGTGACAGGGAGGACAAGCGGTCACCATGGGCTGAGGGGAGCAGGCAGCCTTCCAAGTCCCAAGAGAGCACAAGGAAAAGCCCAGGCTCCCACCCCAAGCCATGGCCAATGGCCCCCATGTGCCCAACTCAGATGGCAGCGGAATCCAGAGCTGCCAGCCCAAGATACATGAGCACAGTGGGGCCTCCCTCAGCCCTCGAGAGTTCATCCCCACTCGCCTCTCTGCCTGCCTCCCGCCCACAGGTGGAGAAGGGGATGAACTCTTGGCACCCCCGGCCCCACTTGGGTGCGGCAGTTATGTCGCAGGAGAAACTCCAATGACCGCTCTGCTCAGCCACACTTTCTGACAGGGTGGTGCAAGAGGCCGGCACCCAGGCCAGTGGCTAGGGAGGGCTACAAGCAACCCACCTCCCCACGGCTGGCCCACGGGGGCTGGTGCTGGTCGCTGCCCACCCAGGGAGTCCAGGCCACCGGCCGCACTGGCAAAAGTCACTCAGAGAGAAGGGCTCTGCTCCCTTGCTTCAATTCCAGGAATTCGCAAACACACACACCCGGGAAGACGTCCCCCTTAGCACCTGCCTCTGAGAGACACCTGTGGTTACTGTCCCCAAAGGCACCGATGTCTGCAGAACCCCCAAGGGACCCTGATTCTGGGCAGGGGTTCCAGGGTTCCAGGGTTCCAGGTTCCAGGGTTCCAGTTCTACTCAACTGTTGGACCAAGGGACACCTAAGGTCACTGTGGGACAGTTTCCATGCAGCCCCCTGGGCGAAGTGTGCCCACCATGTCCAGATGCCTCCCCCCCACCCCCACCCAAGTTAACCCCTACACGCTCTACTCAGCTGCGGCACCAGGCCCAGCATTTCTGCCAGAGGTCATAGGTCCTGTGAGGGGCAAACCTGTTTCTGCATCTCACCCCACTGCCCAGGCTGGAGGGGACCACAGAAACCATCCCCAGCAGGCTCCAAGGGAAGGGCCCCCTCCGGTGAACCCCAGCCCCGCATGGGCCTCGAGACGGCACCTCCGCCCCCCTCCACACCACAGCGCCAGGCTGATGCCCTCACCTGATGCCCGTGGAGCGTGTAGAGCAGCCGGCCCTCCATGAGGTCCAGAATCTTCAAGGTCGAGTCGCTAGAGGCCGTGAGCAGGTAGTTTCCGGACGGGTGAAAGGACAGGGCATTCACCGCCGCGCTGTGCACTGGGGGAGGGACATCAGTCAGGCGCTGGTTGGGAGGCCCAGGGATGCAACTGGAGCCTGAAGACGGGCAACTGGGGCCAACCGAGGCTCAGCACAGGGCTGAGCCAGGGCGGCCACAGCTCCAACGACGTGGGGAGCCCCACAACCAAAGAACAGGAGCGGACTCGTCGAGAGCTGAGGACAGGCAGCAGGAGACATGGGGCAGGCGGGAGCCCACATGACAAGGCCAGAGGGATGGGGCGATTCCCCTTGCTCTCCTGCCACACGGAGCAGTCGGGCTGGAGCAGAACAGAGTGCTCAAACCTAACACCCAAGCTGTCTCTCATACCGCTACTTAGGGGAAACCGAACAGAAAAGACAATCCCTGAGGTGCCAGTACGATGCCCCTGCCCGACGAGAGCATGCGTGTGGGGCAGGCGGGCAGAGCTAAGACACACGTTCAGGAGCCAGTCGGGCCTGGGTTCCAATCCCAGCCTCCCCACTGTCCCTCACCTTAGGACCCTCAGCAAGCACCCTGACATGCTGCACCCGTTTCTCCTGCTGTATCATGGCACCCACGTGTTGGGGCGCGGGGGGGGGGGGGAGCCTGCCTGTGAGGCCTCTGTACAGAGGGAGCCCTCCGATGGGCCTCTCTGCTGCCCCGGGTGTCACACGCAGCTTCCAGGTCCTGCCGCTTTACCCACGCAACAGCTCAACCTCATCTGTGACTTTCTTTTCCCCAGTGGCCTGGCCTGAGCCCGCCCATCCTGGTGACCCTCACTCTGTGAGATCCGGCCACCCCAGCCCTGTCAGCTTCCCAGCTGCTCCACACGGACCTGGGAGACTCTTGCCCACCTCTACCCCTGACCTTGAAGCTCGCTGCTCAGTCACCTCCTCAGGGAAGCCTCCCGACCTCATCGGGGCCACCCCCCTGAATTGTCCCCCTGAAGCATCGTAAGTCCCTGGTGGACGCACTCTTCACTGCAGTGTTTTACGTTCCTGTGTAGCTCTCTGACTCATGGCCAGGTCCCCCATGAGACTGTGTGCTCCGTCAGGCAGGGGCTGTGTCGGGTCCTTGCCTCTCGGCTCAGCGCCTGACACTGAGCAGGACTCAGAAAGTGGCTGGTGAGTAGGTGAGTTGGACCCAGGCAGGCCACATGTGGGGACAACAATGTGAGGACCAGCTCCATCACAGCTTCTGAAAGCAGCTGCTAAAGAAGACCTCAGTGCCTTCATCCCCACCACCACAGGCCAAGTGGGGGACACCAGTGGGGGTGACATAACCAGGGCCCGCTGAATCAGAACTGCTACAAACAGAAAGACAAATTCTAAAACCAACCCCTCACCCTGGCCCTGTGGGTCTGCAAGAACCAGTGCAAGGCCAGAAACACATCCACCACAGGTTGGCCTTCCACAGAGCCCACAGGGGCACATGGAACCCCTCAGAAACCAGCCCAGCTGATGTGCTGATACGCCTGGGGAGTGTGGGTACATGTTCCCAAGCACACTTAGGGGAGACAGCCAGGGCTTTACATAACACAGTATTTATGTCTGAGCACTCTCTAAGCACCACAGCTCCTGGAGCCAGCCTGCAAGGGGGCTGAGGGGGTCTCCACAGAGGCAGAGCACAGCGCCCTCAGCCCGTCGCACTCCCCCCACTCGAGGCCGTGGGGGGTGGGGGAGGTCAGCATCCTCAGTGTTTACCAAGACTTGGGGCATGGAGAGCCAAAGAATACGGCCACGGCTGACCCATCAGGAACTGAACAGGCAGGAGCCAGCCACAAGCAGTGGCAGAAAGAACGTTCATAACGCAGAGCGTGACTGCCACTACCCACAGGTGGAAGGGACGCACATGCAGAGGGAAGTGGACAGAAGCTCCAGACAGAGACCTTCTATAGAGGCCCCTGGGGAGGACAGGAATACAGGGACTTCTCATTTTTACTCTGCATACTTCCAGATTTTTTTTTTTTAACCATCAGAATACAGTCACTGTGATTACACAACTGGGTGAATGATAAAAAGTGAATCTTTCCCTCCCCCGCAAAAGAGTGAGTGGTGTCCAGGGAAGTGGGAGCCCAGTCTGGCTCGGCATCCTCCCGCCAGCCCTTCAGGTCGTGAGTCTACAGGCGAAGAGCTAGTGCCCTGCACTCCCGAGGGGCCCGCAATGCTCGCCAGATTGCTGGTTCACACTGGCAGTGAAGTGGGGTGGGAGGAGGGGAGCCCTGCCACCCTCAACCCCTCTGCCCCACAGCAGGACAGCTCTGAGAGGCGGCCTGCCCTGCATCTATCTCCCCAGGCCCCATCTCCCTTTGGGCCCCTTCAAATGCTGCCCCCGGCGCGTCTCCCTCCCTGAGCCTGGAGAAGGGCACGCTATTCTTGTTTCTGCAGCCCTTGGCAGCCTGGCCTGGAATGAACGCCACCCCGCCCCACCTGAGACAAAGCTGGCAGAGGTGCAGCCGGGCCAGGAGGGTGGATCAGGGAGGGCCCAGGGCTTCCCAGCACCACCAGGGCGGTGGGGTCAGGATGTGGATAGCACGCCAGGGCCCCCCAGCTGGGCAAGTCTACCCCAGGGAGGGAATCTCCCCCAGAGGAAGGGCACCAAAAGCCCTGCTCTGCTATAAATGGCAGGAATATCAAAGGCCTCCTCGCTGGGGTGGAAACATCTGGAACCATTTACTCCAGAAGAGGGCTCAGCTTGGGGGATGAGGATGTATTAGATACCAGGACCCACTGCCGAATTTCCCTCCTCATTCTCCTGCCTCCCACCAGCCCCGCCAGCCTGGGGCAGCCTCTCTGGCTCTATAGGTGGGAGACACATTCTAGGGAGGCCTCATCCTAAGAATCACCCCTGCACGCCAGTCCCCCGGGGAGGCTCCCACCATAAAGTCCTGAGCAGTGACCGTCCAGGAACAATCCACTTCTCATCAGACCCAAAGCTTGCTAGGCCCTCTTCTTGCTTCCATGGCACTGATTGGTGACAACTGACGGCACAGTGCCCCAGAGAAGAGATTCCAACTCATGGTCAGAGATATACCAACATCAAGATTCTACAGGTCACCAGGAACCCAGAGAAGGTGGGACCGAGGCCACTGCAGACCCTGCCCCTAAGCACTGGGAACTGGCCATAGCTTGTGGGCAGCACGTGGCCTAAGGAGAGTCCTAGGTACCCACAATCCACTCTGCCCACACAGCGCTGCACGTACAAGCCCTCAGCAAACCTGGCCCACTGCCCAGGGGGCTCCAAACTGACCAAGGGGCCCAGAGAAGTCCCAGGTACCCAAGTCAGAGGTAGCTTTCTAAGGCAGGCCACACGAGGCCAAGCCCCCGCCCCAGCCCACCACCATCACAAAGGGCGCAGCGCACTTCACCTGGTGGGGCTTCTCATAACATGCAACTGGCCTCCCCAGCGACTTCGGGTTCACAAGGGGCTACGGATTCGTACAATGAAGGTGCTCTGATACCAGCAGGGAAGGATGCTCAAAACCCTGCTGTGTGAATGTCACACCAATGCCCACTTAGGGATGGTGGGAAAGGGCCAGTGAGCTGGCCAGATCACGTGGGACAGTGCACTGCCCTCCTGACCAACGCTTTTGGTCTCAAAACACCAACCAAAGGATACAGGCCCGCCCCACCAACTGACTGCCCAGCTGCCTGAAAATCCTCTGTGACCAGATCTGGGGTAGGGCAGAGGGGTGTGTTAAGAACCAGGGGACAGAGAACCTGGGACTCTGAGCTCTACCTAGAATTTCTGGAGAGGGCCAAACCAAACCCTCCCAGGGGCCTCAGGAAGGAAATGACTAGAATCAACATGGTGTAAGGAAGCCAGCGTGGAGCGGCGGACAGAACGCCACACTCAGAGGCCTTCCGTTGGAAACTCAGATTCCCAGCTTCCCAGCCGTGGGACCATGGACAAGCCTCAAACTGCCTATCTGTGAAATGGGGAGTAGCCCTGTCCTGCTAGCCCCCCCGGGGCCTGTCACTGGCTAGCGGACCTGCACGTGCCTGTGAGCCGCAAACTGCACTACGGGTTCCGGATGGGGGTTGCTGCTCAGATGTCTGAACAGCCTTCTCGTGGGCTCGGAGCATATGGAGCCTAACCCACCTCCGTGGGGCCTGGCACTCCCAGGGATCCGGCAGCCCCACCGTCTCCTCGCTGAATTGGGAAACCAGAACTGCTCCCCACAGGGACAGGTCAGAGCCAAGAAACTCCTTGCCTGAGACAGATGGTGCCAGCTTAACTCCCAACAACCCAGCACGGAACAGGAAGTGTCCTCCGTGACGCGCAACCACGGGGCAGCTGGACACGGGCAGGCTGCAGCTGCTGACCACACACTGCAGTATCAGGAGTCAAAGGGTCTCAGAAAAGCCCAACAAGCTCATGTGCCTCAAGCCCTGTGTAGGTACTCATTCGGAGTCACCAAGGGAGACACTAGATGGTATGGTATTCTTAAAAACTTTCCTCTGGGTTTCCCAGGGGCCAGGGACCGAAAACAGCTCAGGCATCTGCTGCCAGAGCGCCAGGAGTCATTCTCGGGGAATCAGCCTCCAAACAGATGCCCCAGCACCTCTGAGGATGAGGGAGCAGCTGCTACTAAGGGGGTAGGGGGAGCCTCTCAGGTAGAAGGTTTGGCCATGGAGCTCTTTGGGGAAGCCGCTAGACCTGAGCAGACCTGGCCAGGTCCCTCAAGCAGCATAAAGGGTGAGGGGTACGTCCCCCAGCCAATGTGCTCAGATCCACCGAGCTCTCCTTGAGCCCCAGAGGGTAAGCTCAGAGGCAGTGGGATGAGTTTGCTGCCCCGTGCGCCATGCATTGGGCAGGGAGCTGAGGAAACCCGATTGTTTATGAGGTACTCCAAGCCACCCAAGGCGTCTGATCTATATTGGGGTGGCTTAGGAATAAGACACTGGGTAGCTCTGTCATAGGAGCAAAGGACAAGCAAAAACACACTGAAATCTCTCTGCAGAGCCTGTCAGCCTCATGCACCCGGGTCCCCTCAGGACTTGGCTCCTGATGACACCTGAGCCCTCCCACCATCTCCCCGGCCCTGCCAGTCACTGACCTCCCATGCCCACCCACCACAAAGCCTGCCCCCTCAAGAACTCCAGGGACCTCTCTCCAGCACCCGCCACCCTCCTCGACTGCCCTACATCACTCCCCCTCCTGACCACTTCTTTAGGAGACGTTGCATTCCTTCATGCCCCTGGCTCTGCCCCATCAGCCCTCACTCTGGCTGCTTTGTCAACCTTTCCCTCCATGGCCCCTTAAACACAGGGACCCAGGATATCGCCCCAGCCCTTCTCAAGCCCCCAGTTCCTGGGCCCAGGTGGCCACTCAACCCACAGCATCACCTCCTAACTCTATTCAATCTCCAAAGCCTATCTCCCTGGGCCCGATCCCTGCCCCACTCAGATGCCCAGCCCTCCCTCAGATACCGGCTGCAAGCAGCCCACCCACCAATCACCCAGACACACCAGCTTCCCACCCATGTAGGCTCTCGGCACTGCTGTCCTCTCAGACAGATCTTTGCTCCTCAAGCAATGGGACCAGTCCCAGCACGGCCAGCCAGGCTGCAACTTTGGGACCATGGGCCAGAGTATGGCATTCAAGGTCCTCCCCAAAGGGTACCTGCTGGTGCACCCTACAAACACCAGACCCATGCTCCTGATCCATCAGAGGTGAGACTGGACCCTCCCAGGGTCACCTAGAGATCCTCTCCCCTCAGTGTCAAATCTTATGTGGTGAAAAGAAATAATAATAAAAAATTAAAAGACTTACGTGGTACAAACCACATTTCCAGTACTCACTTGAACTCCCCCAACAGATCTTCTCAAACCCCATAAGGTACTATTACCACCCCCTTTACAGATAGGAAGCAGCCTATACTCCTAACCTGCACTGCCTCGTCACCTTCCCTTCCCATCTCTCCTGACCCCACACTCAGTGGCGCCTTCCCGCCCAGCACTCCTCCACACCTGCCAACCTTCCCCCAGTCAACCCTGCAGATGTGCCCGATCTCCAACCCAGGCCTGGCCCAGAGCAGAAGAGAGGCCTCTAAAGCCTGAAGGAGGGGAAAGAGGGGTGTGGTCTCCAAGCAGAGGGCAGACCCCATAGCTGCTCTGTTCTAGAAGCTCTGTCTGAAACGGCGGCTGTGACAAACCCCAGGGCTCTCTGTTGAGGAAGGTACCAGTTATGTGGCTAGCCCCTGCCACCTGGTGGTGGTATCGGGCAATGCAGGCCAGACTCCCTACTCCAGGATCTCCAGGACCCAGACTTGGCAACACGGGCGTCATGAACACAGTACCTGGTTCCTGCACTCCCTAAGCTCTTGACACAGACCAATTCGTTACCCTCCCAACACCATCTGTGAGGGAAGCCCTATCATTGTCCCGGGGGGCCCAGAGGAGTCAAGTGACCTGCCTAACGTCACACAACTAGGAATGCTGAGGCTGGCTGCGGAGCCCACCCTCCACCGTGTGCTTTTTAAGACCAGGAGCCTCTCCCTCTCCTCGGTTACCTCAACATCTTAGAGTCAGCTAAGAAGAGCTCATAGTGGGTGGAAAGGAGAGCTCTGAACCCCAAGTCTCACACCTTTGTCCAGACACATCCTTCCCATTTTCAGGTGCGAATTCTGGAAAGGAGCCCATGGTCTTTAAACTTAGTCCCAAGTCAACAACCTCAGCTCCTCAAACAACTCCAGCTCTACCCCTCCCCAGTCTCAGCCCCAGGCCCACAGGCCCACCCACCATTTTGCCCCCTGCACAACTCCTAGTTCCTCCTATGGCCCCTCGCCAGCTTCCTTCCCTGGCCCCATCCCCACAACGGAGGTGGCTCATGGCCCTCCCCAGTCACACCTGCCCTCAAGACAGTTCCATGCTCTAGTACCCTCCACAAGCTCATTCTAATCACACCCAAGTCCGTCCCTACCCCACCTCCCAGCTGGAACCGGACACAGCCCATGCTGACTGCCTGCCGCTCTGCCTTCCGAGGGCTACCATTAGATCAGGGGACACAGCCCCAGGGCTGCCTCCTGAGCCTGGTCTCTAGCCTAAGTTGACCTTCCGTATGGTCCTTGGCTCCATACCTATGGAGGACACCAGGAGGCCAGAGGTGGCCAAGGTGCCATGAACACTGACTTCTTTTGACAGGCCTGCCCCTTTCCCCTTAGCTCTAGAGACGAGTAGCACGGGTAGCCCCTGAGAAGCGGCCCCTGAGCAGAGCCCTGGCCAGAGATCCACTGCGAGCTCCTCGTCCCGCCCTGCAGTGTGCAGGAGACTCTGCCGGCTCCGGAGCAGGCTCCACAGGGCTTGGTGGGCGCCAGGGAGCGCCAGGGTCCACCTTCGGGCCAGCGTTCCGAGCAGCACGGCCATGGCACAGACTGCCGGCCGCGGGAGATCCCAACGGGCCCGGGCCTTCTCCCCACTGACCGGGGCCGTCCTCAGGCCCGCCTCAGTACCACGGCAACGAGCCGGCCACCTGCCGCCCCAGCCCCGCCGCGGCCGCTCTCGGACACTCACGCTGATAGTGCTGCAAGAGCCGGTGTGTCCGCACGTCCCACACCTTCACCGTGTTGTCCATGCCGCCGGCGGCAATGCACGTGCCGCTGGGGTGGAAGTCCACGAAGGTGACAAAGCTGGAAAGACAGGGGCCACCACACGCTAGAGGAGGACCGTCCTGGCTCGGAACAGACCCCCAAACATCCAGCCCTTTCCAACATCCCTACACGTCCGCTCAGGCTGTTCCCCAAACCCAGAAGACCTCCCTCCTGCCCCGCTTCTTTACCAGGTGGCCAAGGGATAGCAAGGAGAGGGTGAGAACAGTGGCTAACAGTGACCGGACATGGACTCACCAGGGAGCAAATCCCAGCAGCCACTTCTACATACAAGTAGAGAAAGTGGTCTTCAGCCCAAAGGTCAGCCGACAGCTTAGGGTGTTTAGAGTCAGGGTTGGGACCCTCATCAAAGCCCCCTGCCCGCTGAGGCCCAGCCCCAAAGGGCCAGCAGGGCCCCAAGGCCACTGGTTGACTATCTCCAGGAGACAGGCCAAGGGCCCCCAATATCCCCACACGTGACATCCAGGCTGGCATCATGGCCGGCTCTCAGGAGGAGACTTTCCCGGGGGCTCCCAGCCTACCTGCGGAGCGCACAAGCTGGCGTTCATCGAGAAGACCAGAACAGGTGAGGCCCTACTCCAATGCGGGCTCCTCCCTCTCCTGATGATGTGGCACAACGTGAACCGCCACCAAGAACTTACAAGAACCTGACAAGCCTTTCATTTATAAAACCATCACCACAGCTAACATACTAACATGATTTTGGGAGGTCCAGGGTCACCTTCTTTCAGAGAGACAAGTCACAATTCTGAGAACTGGGAAGTGAAAGGAAAAGAGAGGCCCCAAGAATCACATGCCTTAAAGTTAAGCACCCGTTTTTTGTGGGGATGGGGATGAGACTGAACCTCCCGCTCACATAGGAAAAAATTCAGAGACAGAGAGAAGCAGAGACGTGGCCCCACATAAGGCCACTGGGGCCCCTTCATGCCTAGGTCCATGCTTTTCTTGAGCATCTGCAGGAGGAGGACAGGGTCCGGTGACTTACCCGCCATGCTCACAGTAAGAGTGGACACACTCCCGGCTCGTCTTGTCCCATAGTTTGACAGTCTTGTCATCGCTGGCAGACACGATGAGCCGCCCGTCTGGGGAGAACCTGAACCAGGCAGGGCACAAGTCACACCACCGTGGGCACTGCCCACTGTCCTCCACAGCCACCTTCCTGAACTGCCCACCACCAGATCCCAGAACCAGCCAAAGCGTGAACACTGCTCTGACTCTGAGCGATCCTGGGCAAGCGGCTTTCCCTCTGTGAGATGGGTAAGAATGGTACCTACACTCATGGTGAGCAGGGAGCAACGCTGTATGCACAAGGCCCCCAGCACGGCACGTGGCATATGGCAAAGTGCGTGCTGACTGCTCATGCTATTAGCATGAAGGTGGCCCAAAGCCACCATCAGCATCGTTATCCTGTTCTCAGGTCCCCCAAGTCCACATTTGACTCTGAGAACCACCTACCGACAAAAATGTGTGGAGGTCCTGGGGACCCACCACCAAAGGCTGGTGTAGGCTTCACACTGGTTTGCTGGCCTGGCCCCTCCTATTCTCAGGAGCCTGGTGGTGAGGCCTCTCTGAGCAATCAGGGACCTCCCAGGACAAAGGTGCCCTGGAGAACAAGTAACTTGCATGGGGTCCCCAGAAGAACACCATAATAGTCCCCAACCTCTGACTCCCATGGTTTCCCAGCATCCCCAGACCTCCCAACCTCTTCCTCTGGAGCACGGAGATCTCTGTCGAAAGGATCAGAATAGCTGAAAGTGGGCACATTTGTGTCCGCAATCTTTGGACCCTGAAAGGTCCTATGGGTCACCTGGCGCCTATCCCCACAGCACTGCCCCCCACAGCAAAGGGAGAGCCAGCCTCCAGACCAGCCTCCTCAGAAGCCTCAACATCCACCCAGCAGCTCAAGCAAAACCAACTTCTGAGAGGCAGACTCAGCTTCAAACCCCAGCGAGCACCCAGGGGCAAGACACTGCGCTGTTCTGAGCCTCAGTGTCCTCATCTGTAAAATGGGAATGACACTGCCTAGCCTGCAGGCCTGCCATGAAAAGTGAAAACAAACTGTAGAGTGCTACTAGTGACATCATCTTGTCGCTATTGCTCCTAAATGGCCCCTGCCGACTTGCTTCCGGCCGCATTAGTCTGGAGGTCAGGGGCTCAGTCATGGCTGGCAACGAACTCACTTACTTGTCATATGTGAGCCAGAAGCTCCTCAGCAATTTACAGTGTGACAACTTCTTTGCTCCCATTTCCCCAGTAAGGAAGCTGAGGCTCAGGAATATGAAAGAGTAGCTAGTTCGCCCAAGGTCACGCCACTGGCGCCTGGCAGCGCCTCGGTGCCCCTCAAGCCCCAGGTCCCTCCGAGGGTCCGGGCGCAGGATGATGCTCACCTGGCGCAGCGGACCCAGTTGATGTGCTGGCTCAGGGAGAACAGGAATTTCTGGCGATGAGTTGACCACACCTTAACTGTTTTGTCGTCGGAGGCCGTCACAAAAGACTGGCCGTCACTGCAGAAGTGGATGCTCCTCACTGTGGCTGTGTGTGCACGAAACACGGTAGACTCGCCTTTGCTGCAGGGACGGGTATTCCGATTCAGGAGACCCACAACGGTGACAGGAGGGCCCGTGAGCACATCAACGCTCTCCCGATCCCTCAGGGGCCCTTCCCGACGTCCGTGCAGGCCTGCCACCCCAGCCCCCCACAAGGAAGGCCAGAACCACCACCCACCCTGCCCATGTGTGAGCAGCATCAGACGGGAGCCCTTCCAGGATGGCTGCAGTAAGCCCAGAATCCCTCTCCCAACCCTAAGGGGAGGGCTCAACTTCTGACAGCACCCCTTCAGAAGTAGGGCAGATGCCCCACCATGACAAGTCCAGAGCCAGGATGGGGACTGGAGTAGGGACAGCTCTGGTACCAGGACCCCAGGCTCAGACAAGCCCTTCCAAGTCTGTAACTCACACATTGGGTATCCAGATCCGGACAGTCTTGTCTCGGGAGCCTGAGGCCAGCAGGTGTCCCGAAGGGGAGAAGTTCACACAGGTGACAGCGTCCTTGTGGCCCGCAAAGCGGTAGGCGCGTGACTGGGGCTTCATGTGCCAGACCATGAGGCATGAGTCCATGGAGCCACTGGCTGAGAAAGCAGGGATGCTGTGACCCTCAGCTCTAGTGGGCCTTGAGCCTCCAGCAGGACGATGGGGTGAGGGAACAGGAGAAAGACCACACTTCCAGCAACTGCTGAGCTGGGGTTTAGAGCATCGATGGGCTGTCAGCTCTCCAAGCAGCAGGCCCACAAGAGAGCCAGACCAAGAGATGCCCTTCACGTGCGAGGCCTGGGCTGCAACCCAGCGGGCCTCTGAGAAAACTCATCCCCCATGGGGTTCCCCACAGTCACACCCTAAGGGCACTAGAGAGCAAGTCCTCCCAGCCCGACCCAATGGGCCTTTTACCACTGAGAGGGACCAAGTCAATCAGAAACGTAGAGATCCCCAAGACAGATCAAATGACTTCAGTTTGCTCTTTATCTACAGTGACCAGTAGTCTCTGGCAGGGGACCTTGACTATGGGATGAAGGGAGAGCCCTGTCCCTAGAAACAAGAAAGCGGCAGCCATGACAGCTGTGTAGGAACCCCCAAGCGACCAAGGAGCAGGGGTACTCAGCTCTGCTCTTTGCCCTTCTCACTGGATGCTCCCATACTGCTGTGGACAACAGAATCGAGGACCCAAAGAACAGGAGCCATTGTTTAGGGCCATTCTACCAGCCAGACCCAAGAGATGGCTGGGGTATATGCAGTGAAAAGCCCAGACCCTGGGCCCACCCTCCAAGGCTCTGTGCCCTTGGCAAGGCCCCCCAACTCTCTGAGTCCCACACTCTGCATGTAGAATGCAGTTCACAAACCCAGCCCCAGACAGCTGGCCAGCTGAAGCCAGATGCAGGGCTAGACAAAGCACCTGGGTCCTCACAGTGCCCTACCGCCCCCCCCCCCCCCACCTCCTAGCTAGAGACTCTGCCCTCTCAGCTCATAACCTAGTGCCGAGGAAGATGCCTCCTCTTACCCAGCTGCTTTGTGTTGAGACTGAAGTCCACACAGGTAACTGCATCTCGGTGGCCTTTAAAATGCCTCTCCAACGAGGGGTCCTCCTGCAGGAGAGCCAGGGTCAAATGTGTGAAATATGAATGAAGAAGGGGCTTTCCCAGGGCCAAGACTCTTCCTAAAACAGCCAGGGGGGTTTAAAAATGCTCAAGGCATGATCTTGTATATAGAAAATCCTAAGGAATTCGCTAAAAAACTATTAGAGCTAATAAACCAGTTAAGCAAGGTTGCAAGATCAATATATAAAAATCTATTGTAGGACGCCCGGGTGGCTCAGATGGCTGAGCGTCTGCCCTCGGTTCAGGTCATGATCTCCAGGTCCTGGGATCAAGGCCCATGTGGGGCTCCCTGCTCAGCTGGGAGTCTGCTTCTCCCTCTCCCTGCCTCTCCCCCTCTCAAGTGAATAAATAACATCTTAAAAAAATTTTAAAAACTCTATTGTACTTCTGCATATCAGCAATGCACAATCTGAAGAATGATAACAATTCCATTTATGACACATGAAAAAGAATAAACACTTAGAAGTAATTCAACAAGTGGGGCGCCTGGCTGGCTCAGTCAGTAGAGCGTGCGACTCTTGATCTCCGGCTTGTGAGTTTGAGCCTCACATTGGGTGTAGAGGTTACTTAAAAATAAAATCTTTTGGGGGCACCTGGGTGGCTCAGATGGTTAAGCGGCTGCCTTCGGCTCAGGTCATGATCCCAGGGTCCTGGGATCGAGCCCCGCATCAGGCTCCCTGCTCGGCGGGAAGCCTGCTTCTCCCTCTCCCACTCCCCCTGCTTGTGTTCCCTCTCTCACTGTCTCGCTCTGTCAAGTCAATAAATAAAATCTTTAAAAAAAGAATCAAGGAGAGAAAATGGGGGCCTTTCAGCAACCCCCATTTCAGGAATCAGATTCTGAACCCTCAATCGCACTGTAGACTGGCCAACGAACCCAAAGGTCAGCCTGGACAGGCCCCAAGAGGCAGTGCCACCATCTCTACTGTGCCCAACGTCGTCAAGGAAGCAGTAGTTCAGGACACTGCTAGGAAGACATGGAGAAAATATTCCAGACTCTTTCCACACAACAGCAGCTGTCTTAGCACTTGAAGAGTTATAGCCCTGCCATGCAAACATTTCCCCCTACCCCAAATATCAGAAACCTCAAAGAAGCATTTTGGGCGCACCGGGGAGCCCAGCAAAACCTCCTCCTGGGAAAAAAATGCCCTTGGGGCAGAGTAAGACCATTGCCACCCCACAGAGTTGTAACCAGAACAAAGGTCCCCATGGCCCTGTGCCCAGCTCCACCCCCAACACACAGGCCTGAGTCACCCTTTCAAGAAGAAATGGAGTGGCAGCTGGGGTGGAGGGCAACAGAGCAGCAACTGCTTCACCTGAACCTCTTGGGAGAACAAGATAATGCCCACCTCTAGGCTCAATGCGCAGAGGTAAGTTCAGTTCCACCTCTGACCAGGGGACCCCGAAACCTCCCAACATCCTTCCCACCTCCTCATCCCACCCGCCTCTGTGGTTCCTCAGTGGCTGCACCCTAAGGTGGTTTATATATGGAAGGAAGTGGGGAGGGACTTATGGGAAGGGCTAGATTAGGGGTCAAAAAGCCTGGATCCTAAGTCTGGGCCCTCTGCTCAAGGCCCCACATGCCAACAGGCACCACCCGGTCTTCCTGACTCTCAACCCAGCCCAAAGGCCAGACGTGTTTAAACAATCTCTCAAAAAGAGGGGTTTTGGAGTGCTTCCCTCTGGAGGAAACTGGGACTCAGGGCGCCCGGCCCAGATCACACTGCAGACCTGGGCTGTCCCGTCCGAGCACGGTGTTCGCTCAACAAGCCCCTACCCAGCCACCCACTGCTGAGGATGGTGAGACTGAGGCCCGGAGCTGGCCTCCAGCCCGACCTCCAGTCGAAACGTACTAGTACTAGTGTCTCCTCCGCTAGGATGCAAATCCGGGGAGCGGGGACTCGTTGGCCCGCCCCCGTAGTCCGCAAAGGGTCTGGCACTCAGGAGGTGCTCACTACGTGTCCCGACCCAGCGCCCCCTGCACAGACGGTAAACGGGCTGGAGAAGACTGGCTCGGGACGTGGCATCCCACTCGCCCCCTAGCAGCCATCACCTCGGCTAGGCACCCACAGTCCCAGCGGGGAGACTAAGGCCGGGCAACCACCGCCGGCAAGAACTTACAGGGCAAGGTGCCGCCATGGCGGGCCCGGGGCGCCCAAGGCGCCGGAGAAAGCAGCGTCGGCCGTTGCGGCCCGTTCAGTTTCCGCGCCCCCAACCGCCGCCAATAGCAACGCGGGTCGCGTCGCCACGCCCCGCCCACGACGATTAAAGGAGACGCTGCACCTCCGCTTTTTGTCCCCCGGCCGGAAGCAGAGCTGTGTGGCCGGTTCTACGGCCTCCGCGCGCAGCTCCGCCAGACCAGCAGCCCACGGGTGCCGCCGCCAAAGGTCTCCGTCCACTGTCACTAATCCCCTAAGAAATTACAAAACCCAGGATGAGGGGTTCACTGCATCGGCCCCGTAGCTCGGTTTACCGCACGACGAGCACAGCCTTCTGGGAAATGCAGTTTCAAGACGGCCGCCACCTTGTGTGTGCAGAAAAGTGGAACTACTTTTCCCAAGATACCTTGAGGGCGGGCCGGGATTAACCACCGGTAGGAAAGGCTTCAAGGATCCCGGAAGTGGAGGACACGTGGGTCATTGTATCTGTGTCCTCTTAAAGGGCCCTTGAAACCGGGCGTTCGCTCAATACCTTAAGGGCCAATTAGTCGCCCGTCAGAGATTCTTTAAATGGTTCACTCCTCCGAACTTAAAACAAGTGTCATTTAAAAGAACACCAGTCACTTGGAATCACATCCATAGGATTCTCCATGGGTGGAGAAACCTAGGTTCTATTCTGTTGTCGTCCTGCTTCATTGTGTGACCTGTGACCTTGGAGAAAAAAAGTACCTTTGCCCAGGCCTCAGTTTTGTAATATTGTAATTTGTAATATGAGGGAGTGTGATGCAGCCTGGTCCTCTCCAGACCCCTCAGCCCTGAGAAGCGGTTATAAGTTACATATTTAAAAGAGAAGGAGACATTTCTAGATATGTCTCCTGAAGCAAGGGAGACAAAAGCAAAATTAAACTATTGGGACTGCATCAAGTTAAAAAGCTTCTACACAGCAAAGAAAATAATTAACAAAGCCAGAATACAACCTACTGAATGGGAGAAGATACTTGGCAAATGACATACCTGATAAATGGTTAGTATCCAAAATATATAAGGAACTTACACAACTCAACACCAAAAATTCAAATAATCCAATTAAAAATGGGCAGAAGACAGGGACATTTCTGGGATGCCTGGGTGGCTCAGCTGCTCAGGCATCTGCCTTCCACTCCAGTCGGGGTCCTGGGATTGAGTCCAGTGTTGGGCTCCTTGCTCGGCAGGGAGTCTACTTCTTCCTCTCCTTGCCCCTCCCCCTGCTTGTGCACGTTCTCTCTCTCTCTGACAAAAAAAAAAAAAAAAGACATGGACATTTCTCCAGAGAAGACATCCAGATGGCCAATAGACACATGAAAAGATGCTCAATATCACTCATTATCAGGGAAATACAAATTAAAGCCACAATGAGATAATACCTCACAGCTGTCAGAATGGCTAAAATCAGAAACACAAGAAACAACAAGTATTGGCAAGGATGCAGAGAAAAAGGAACCCCCGTGCACTGTTGGTGGGAAGGCAAACTTTTCCACTGGTGCAGCCACTGTGGAAAACAGTATGAAGTTTCCTTAAAAAATTAAAAATAGAACTACCATATGCTCCAGTAATTCCACTACTGGGTATTTACCCAAAGAATAGGAAAACCCTAATTCAAAAAGATATATGTCCCCCTATGTTTATTGTAGCATTATTTACAAAAGCTGAATTATGGAAGCAATCCAAGTATCCATCAGTAGATGAATAGATAAAGAAGATGTGGTGTGTGTGTATATGTATGTATATATATACACACACACAAATACATATATATACATATATATATATATATACAATGAAATATTACTTGGCCATAAAATATAATGAAATCTTGGGGCGCCTGGGTGGCTCAGTTGGTTAAGCGGCTGCCTTTGGCTCAGGTCATGATCCCAGGATCCTGGGATCGAGCTCCACATGGGGCTCCCTGCTCAGCGGGGAGTCTGCTTCTCCCTCTCCCTCTGCCTCTCCCCCTGCTCATGCTCTCTCTCTGTATCTCTGTGTCTCAAATGAATGAATAAAATCTTTTAAAAAATAATAATAATGATGAAATCTTGCCATTTCCAACAATATGGATGGATCTAGAGAGTATAATGTTAAGTGAAATAAGTCAGACAGAGAAAGACAAATACCATATGATTTCACTTACATGTGGAATTTAAGAAACAAAACAAATGAACAAAGAAAAAAAGAGACAAACCAAAAAACAGATTCTTAACTATATAGAGAACAAACTGGTGGTTATCTGAGAGGAGGTGGGTGGGGAGATGGGTGAAATAGGTAAAGGGGATTAAGAATACAATTACCATGATGAGCACTGCATAATGTATAGAATTATTGAATCACGATATCATAAACCTGAAATTAATGTTAACACTGTATGTTAACTATACTGGAATTAAAATAAAAAATAAAAGAAAATTAATAAAAGAGGAGACATTCTAAGGGCCTGGCCACCAGGGGCCATCCCTGCTCACTTTATGCTGTCAGAACGTCCAGGCTGTCCTTGTCCAGAACTTTTACCCTGTCTCTGGGTATCTTCCCAACCTGGAGCTGACCTGGACCGGATATTATGCAACATTCAGGAAACTTCTGTCACCTCCCTGGACAGGCCAATTTGGCCAGACTCCAACACTGATTAGGATCTGGCCAGGCCCGGGGTTTTCTCATTACATCCTGAGACCAAAGATGGTTTCTCCATGGACCTCCAAACCAGAGCAGAATCAGAACCTGGCACAGATGGGTAGCTGGCATGTAGAGGACTGGGTCTCTCCTTCGGACCTAGAAAGTCTGGGGCCAGACGGAAGAAACAGAGACATCTTCACTGTGATTTGGCATAGAATTGGCTTCTTTACATTACAAATGTTCAAGCTCATTTAACTCAGACTCTGAAATTCTCCTTAAAACAACAAGTATTGGGGCCCCTGGGTGGCTCAGTCGTTAAGTGTCTGCCTTCAGCTCAGGTCATGATCCCGGAGTCCTGGGATCGAGCCCCGCATCGGGCTCCCTGCTCGGCGGGAAGCCTGCTTCTCCCTCTCTCACTCCCCCTGCTTGTGTTCCTTCTCTCACTGTGTCTCTCTCTATCAAATAAATAAAATCTTTAAAAAAAAAAAAGTATTGTATTATTCACACACCTCAGAATTGTTCAACATTGTTCAAAGGATGACTTTCAAGTCTTCCCGCCAACATTCACAACTCATTCAGCGATTCTCTTGTCTGCTGTCCAAAGACTTAAAGTGAAAAAGTTAAGGAAGAAAAAAAAAATTAAATACATAAATATCTATCCATTAAATTTAGAGTTTGTTTGTTTTTGTTTTTTTTTTAAGATTTTATTTATTTATTTGACACAGAGATAGAGAGCACAAGTAGGCAGAGCGGCATGCAGAGGGAAAAGGAGAAGCAGGCTCTCTGCTGAGCAGGGAGCCTGACGCGGGGCTCAATCCCAGGACCCTGGGATCATGACCTGAGCCGAAGGCAGTCACTTAACCAACTGAGCCACCCAGGCGCCCCAAATTTAGAGTTCTTTTATTGCTGTTATTGGTAGTGTTTTTGGTCTCGTTTTGTTGTTTTGTTTTGTTTGTGTAATTTTAGCTACAGAACATCCCTGGTCTATTGGAGCTCATAATCTACAAAACTGAATTTAGAGAAACCCTTCTGTAAAATGATTTTCAAATGTCAAGCTTGCTCAAAGTAACAGGCCCTAGAAGATTTTACTCATTCTCCCTAGTCTTTCCAGATCCTACTATCTTCTATCCTTACCCACTGGAAGAGGAGCTGGGGATGCCCCACCCACTCTTGTTCATTTATTCTCCAAAAATTGCAACACCACATTCTGCCAACACCACAAAGACGAGCCATGATCCACCACCGACACAACCTGTATAAACAAAGATTGGTGCCTCTGCCTTCTGACTGAGCAGCCCCTACCCTGTGCCACGTCCATCAGATTGGACTCCATTGCTAAGTCCCTCATATTGGGGATGAGTATGCTCAAAGTTGGAGGAGCCAACACTGAGCCTCCATGTTGAGGGGACCTCCATGTTGAGGGGGGCTGGAAGAGAGCTCCTTTTTCAAGCCCCCTTGTGGCAGGAATGCTAGAAACTCTATCCTGGTATAAAGCCCATAAAACCCCTGCAAGAGACTCTCCTCCAGTCATCACTCCCAGACCCCCTGCCCAAGAGCCAATGCCACCTCAGGGTGAGGCAGAGAAAGGAGGAAAAGCAAGGATCACACCCACCCACATAGCCCAATCCATCCTGCACCTGGAAAGCCCCATCAGTTCTATCACTCAGCCCTGCACTGTGGCCTGGGCTTGAAACTCTGAGCATGGCAGCTTAGGGCTTGTCCCAGGGTCAGACACATCTTGGGATGAGCCCAGGCCCTGCCACCTCTAAGCTGCGTGATCTAGCAGGAGTCACGCCATATCCCTGAGCCTCCATGTCCTTGATTGTAAAATAATCATAACATATCGGCCGCGGTGGGGGAGGAGGGATTCCATGAGCCATTAATTAATGTGAGAGCTTGATATTGAGCTGCCACTTAATACATTTGACATTTTACCATGACCTCAGTCACATCACATACCTCCTCTGCTCCAGCCATCTAGCTGCTACCTCTCTGCTTCTGCTCCCACCTCCAGCTCCTGGGCTGCCTTGGCTCCAGCCACGTTGGCCTTCTTGCCATTCCTTGAATAAGAATGTGCCAGGCACCCTCCCATCTCAGGGCTTTTGCACTGGCTGTTGTCCCTGTGTCCACTTGGCTCAACCTATCACTTCCATCAGGACTTTGTCATATGTCACCTTCTCAGTGTGGCTTTCCCTGGCCACCCCACTTAAAATGCCAACCCACCTTCCCTCTCCCGGCTTTATTTTTCCCCAGTGTCTTTGCCATCTGACACACTGGACTTCTTGGGTTGTTATCTTCTCCCCTCTTAGAACATCAGCTCCAGGGAAAGCCTGTGAGTGTATCCCTGCACCCGGCGCAAGGCCCAGACAGAGTGGGTCCACAGTACATATTTGTCAGTGAAATAAATCAATCATGATAAGATTGCTCAGAGATGGTTCCAGAGCCTGTGAAGGGCAGGACTTCTTCCCAGTGGGAGAGAAGGGGAAGGGATTAGGGTGATCAGGAAAAGCTTCTCTGTGGGGGCAGGGAAACCTGAGCTTTAGAGCACAAATGGGGCTTAGAGGGGCAGGGGACGGACACACAGGACAATTCCAGTGCAGGGAGCAGACTAGGCAAAGGTCTGGTGGCAGGATTGAATGTGGAATATCTGGAGAGCAGGGATAAAGCAGGTGGGCTCAGAAGTAAGGCTAGACTGTAAGGTCACAAACATTGACAAGAATCGTGGGGATC